CCCTTGGTCTGTCTTGGCCTGTCCGTCTCCCCTTGACCCGTCTCTGCCCTGCCCATCTCCCCTTGGCCCGTCTCTGCCCTGCCCGTCTCCCCTTGGTCTGTCTTGGCCTGTCCGTCTCCCCTTGGCCTGTCTCTGCCCTGCCCGTCTCCCCTTGGCCCGTCTCTGCCCTGCCCGTCTCCCCTTGGTCTGTCTTGGCCTGTCCGGCTCCCCTTGGCCCGTCTCTGCCCTGCCCGTCTCCCCTTGGCCCGTCTCTGCCCTGCCCGTCTCCCCTTGGCCTGTCTCTGCCTTGTCGGTCTTTCTCTCCTTCCTGGAAACCACACAACATCCCCCACTTACCTTGATAGGTGCCCAGGATTCTCCTGATCTTCTTTCCAAGCAGGAAATGAATCCCCTATTCCACCCAGGCCAAATGAATGCAGCCCCCCCCCCCCGCCTCCTGAGAATGTTTTGGGCCTGTAGTTGTGTTTTCAGCCATCCTCCCTCCTGCCCAAGTGTGTGGAACCCCCTGTTTTGTCTTCCCCTGTCCAAACTGAATTATGTCGTAGATTTTGCAGATCTAAAGTGAAAAGCACACCTTGTAGTTTATTTCACACTGTGATGCTGGGCCTCAATATCAGTGTAAGGAAAAAGGTGGAAAATCCATTGGCCTCATGATAGGACTTCCTTCCTTCCTTCCTTCCTCCCTCCCTTCCACCACAAGCTGTGTTGTTATTTGGGAGTTAACATCGTCTCCAACAACTGTGTAAGAGAAGGACTGGCATAGCCAAGGGAGGGGTGAAAAGAGGGATCAGCCTGGAATCGTTACGTAGTCACAAAGGGATTCAGTCCAACTCCCCTTTAGTGCCATTGACTCTTATTTAACTCTCACCAAATGCTGGCCTTACTTGAGAAGATTCCTGTGTATCAGCTTTTGGTAATAAATCAGTTAAATGAAACCTTCATGTGTTGTTGTTGTTGTTAATTGCGAAGTCGTGTCCGACCCATCGCGACCCCATGGACAACATTGCTCCAGGCCTTCCTGTCCTCACCTTCATGTGTGGACCTGCTCTAACGTGCCTGACAAGTTCCCATAATCCCCAGCCCGAGTGGGGCTCCTCTGCAGCTGGAGAGGGAGGAACCCAGCTCACCAGTTTGAGCACACCTCACCCCAGTTGAGCTGCACTGGTTCCGTTGTATGCCCTGTTGCCACTTGGAAAAAACCCCTTCTTGGGGAGGGAGCTGATTTCCATCCTAGATCGTTCCTCCCCCCCTTTTTTTTGACCTTGCTTGTCTATATTTTACTCTGAGGGGAGGGCAGTACCATGGCTAACCAAAAATCAATACTCCCACCGTATCCAATAGGTATTAGAATTTAATAGCATTATTATTATTATTATTATCAGGAGCAAAAATCTCTCCTTCAGACCATCTCCAGGATTTGCAGCCTTCTTCCTCTTCCCCGTTCCCAGTCCCTTTTCTCCCCCTTGCATTGCCCTCCAGCCCCCCCCCCCCAAATTCAGGCTCAGT